ATTTTCCCTTAAATGGATTGTTTCGTTTTTAGTCTAGCTACGTTATATGATTACTGAGGATTTTATAATTAATTTTGAGAAAAGCCAATAGATAATATTTTTCGTTTATAAGTACAATGTCATACCAATCAATTAGCTCAAACCAAAAAGCCAGGTTGTCTGCTGACGATAAAATTAATATCCCATTGTTGTGATTATATAAAGTAATTTTACGTATTTTAGTATTTTTTAGTGCCAGCTTGTCTCAGGTATATTAATTCCAAATTTGTGTTCTCAGCTCGAAAATTAATAATAAGCCGACTTGTGATAGATTTTTCATAACAACTAAACAAGCTAGGTAGCAGCAAAGAAGAGTAATAAATTGCCTTTGTTTCGCAAAAGGGACTATTGAAGGAAAACAGAATGATCCTGTACGTAGTGATTTTCAACCGCTCAGGCAACTATTTTAATACACGATGCTGGCTGAAGACCACGACGAGAAAAATGGCCAATAAACCTCTTTTTAAAATTTCGACTATTTTGGAGCCTTAAGCAAATGGCTCCTCTACATTATCAAAAACCCTGTTTTCTTTTTTGGCAAATTTCTCTCGCCCAGGAATTTTTGGGAAAGCCGAGAACTTGTTGTGTTTATTAAAAAAAGTCATATCTTTGCTAGACCAGAAAAAAAAATTGGTTGAAATAAAGATTTAAATAATTTATGATAACAGTTACGGTAGCCTCTCTGACTACATTCTGATTATCTATAGGCCTTCAAAACTTAGGTGGGTTGACACAATAATGGACAATTTAATTACCAGTGCTTTATTTGAGACGGACTTAAATGCAATTAAATTCTGTAAACACCGTAAAAAAGGTGAGTTTTTGGTCCGTAAAATATTTTTCTTTCAGATCATAATGCTCATAATTTACAGAATTATTTTTTCAAAATAATTTTTTTTACCACCAAATTCACTTTTTTTTCCTTTTTTTTCTCGAAGATCTAAAGAACAAGCCAACTCGGCAGCAATTAATAATATCGTCACCGGCTGCGTCATTTCAGACACTTGGACAAGACATAAGTTATGCAACAGCTGTCTTTGGAACTGAATACAGCTTAAAAAATGAATTTCCAAGATATTGTCACAATATTGTCACGATTTGGTTTGTCCTTCATTGCATGTACTATGTGAGCTAAAACATGTCGCTTAATAGTGTTTAGTGATTACTTTTGAATTTGAACGATATCTTCAGTTACAAAACGGCTTCAGTTTTGTATTCTTGGATAGCGAGCCCTGCCTCTTTGTTGCTAAACTCTTGCGAAATAAAACAAATTTTTAATGTTTGCTTGATAAAGAAAATTAAAAAACAACCCTTGACATGCGCAAACAATCGGGTAATGCTTGTCCTTTTCGGGTCAAAAAGTCCAGTGTAATTAGGAACGATATGATTGGCTACGACCGACAGATCAGAGTATTAGCATATAGATTCTCTACCTTTTCTGAAGAAGAATCCATTTTTTTTTAAGTGAAGATGGTTTGCAGAAACGGTAAGTTCATAATTTTACTATCTGAAAGAACATAGGGCTTATTATACGTAAACATGAAGTAACCCGCTCTTTCACTTTCACGTAAATTGCAAATTTCACGTTCATGTAAATTCGCAGCTTGCAGCAGTTTTTCGCCTCATTAAAATCAGCAAATTTATCTCACTTTCGATCACTGATATTTTGGGTTTGGTTAGTCATCGATTCACTTAAGATAGTCTGAACGCCAGCAGGGGATTTAAGGCCATCCAGCTAGAAGTTGATGTGTCTTTTAAGTGGAAACGATAATAACGTTAATAATGTTTTGAAAGAAATAAGAATTAAAAACTAAGGAGGAAACTAAATGCATCCATGTGAAATAGAGCCAGGTATTTTCTTAAGAAATATTTTATTCTTACTTTAGTGTATACTTGAAACGGCCTCGTTTCCTCATCAGAGGTGTTGCAGGATACTATCAAAAATTGAAATTCATGAAAAATGACTGCCATTAATAACTTCGAGGAGATTTTTATATGTGTAAGAAAAGTCCATAAATTTTCCTAGATAGATTAGAAAAGTGAAACTCCGCAATACCCCCACCAGGAAAAAAATGAGAACTATGCACTTTTTCTAATAAAGAGCCAAGGAGATTCAAAGTTCCGATTCTTAAAATGAATCAAAGAATTGCGACCTACGAATATCATACTAGATTAAGATTAGACATGGCGCTTTATACCGCAAACCTCCTTCTCTTAAAATGTTTCAAATTTAAGTTGAAACAGAAATCCATGCTATAAGAACGCTTATGAAAAAACGCTCTATTAGATATTTCGTCAGAAATTGGGCGCAGCGGTGATTTCCTTCGCTTGTAACTTACGGTTTAAAAAGTAACTGATTACCACAAGTTCACTCCTTCCCCATCCTCTCTCGATAAATTTTATTTTGTACGACTGCCGTGCACATGTAAGGCACACTGCATGGAAAAAATTGCGTTGGTCGAGACACCTTTCATAGCAGTGTCATTTTTTTACTCCTGCAAACAGCACTTTTTTTTACATTTGTTATCTCGGTTCTGATAAATGTAAGAGGAAAGTTTCCTGTTTCGTTTGATTGAATTAAAGCCTAATTGATTACGTAGTTTTCAAAGAAGCATTTCATATACAAAAACTTGTAAACGGTAGAAACTTACATCAGTAATAATGTAGAAAGCATTGACCTTTTATAATGTGCAATATGAGCACGTGACCTCCTAACGTAAGCTATCATATCTGGCTATTGGTAAGATTTTAAGGTTTTAATTCTTAACTAGTTTCCAAGATAGAACTCAACAGTTACCATCACAATGTTCTGCATTCTTTGCTTCGAGGCAGTCGCGTGCACGTTTCAATAGTCGATTAAAATGTGCGGACTTCTCAGGAATTAGACTCCCGTTGAATTACAACCTCTAAAAATAACTTCAGTAAAATTTCACATATCCCGGCCAACGTCTTAAGTTTCCCTCTCTGTCCTATTAATGTCAGTCTCTTGCTGAGGGCTTTGAGTTTGTTACAAGGGACTGAGATGACTCGTCCCATTATCAATTATCGGCTCCACAATGAAACCTCCTTATAAAGAGCATCAGAGGTCCACATTAGTAACCTGAGATCAGGCTCTATTTTCTTTTCGCTTGACAAATAAAATTCTGTTCGGAAAGGCGAAACGAACAACAGCCAATCAGATCGTCTGGCATTGTTTAAACGACCAATCAGCGTTGGGGCTAAAAGCTGACTGTACCAACACAAGCGTGAAAGACATTGTACTAGGCCCAATTTTAGCCCGACCACGTAAGAGAATATATGGAAGCAGCCGAAATTGGGCCTGATCACAGGTTACCACATTGGAGAGTTTTCCATTTTAAGGAGGCAAGGATTGCATGTTTGAAGATTCCCAGCTTTAGACCGAAAGATACTGACTCTTCGTGATCAGAAAGCTGTCGACCGCATCATATAGGTGTACGTAAGGAGAGACCTTGACTGTAACAGTCGCTCATCTCTATAATGCAGACACTCACCATGGCCTATTCTCCTTCTGGTGTCCGAATTCAAGACACTTCATAGTACAGTCAAACCCTGCTTTACGGACACCCGCTTAAAAACGGACACCCCGTTATTACGAACAGTTTTCTTTGTCCCCGGGGAAAGAAAGCCCTTACATTTTCTCTAAATTCAACCCGCTTAATGAGGACACCCCGTTATTTAATGCGGAGACTTTCTATGGCCCCCTCAGTGTCTGTATTGACGGGGTTTGACTGGGATCATTTTCACGCTGGGAAAAAAAGTGCTAAAAATCGGCCACAAAATGTGTCCAAAGTTTGTTTAAAAATATGCGTGGAATGTCACAAATATCTCTTAAACTATAGAAGATAATGAGTTGAGACTTTCACTTTCTATTTGTCTTAAGTTTTTCTTTCAAATTCTACATTTTTTGGGTTAGTACTGCGCATGACCAAAAAGTCCATTTTGTGACGTCATCAGTTGTGACGTCACAAAAATGAAATTTGAGATTCCAAATCGGACAAGTTCTTTAATTTTATGTGCACTATATTTGTGCAAAGTATCACACTTTCAGGTTTAATTCTCTTGGAGGAGAAGTCTTTGGGAATTTTGATTTTTTAATTGGCCACTAGAGGGTCACGTGACTCTCTACCAACAAAACGCCTATTCCAAAATTTTCCTGGAGTGAAGTATTGTTGCCTGTATTAATTTCAGTGTCATGCCCTTAAAGGAAAGAAAGTTATAGCCCCAAGAACTCCAAAAATGTTTTGTGCCTATCACGCCCCCACTCAATCTTTTGGCCGATTTTTACCACTTTTTTTCCCAGCGTGTTTACGTTTCTTGGAAACTGCCCTTTTTTACCAATGTATTCACTTCCGTTTTTAACATCTCTAGAATTTTAAAGATCTTTTATTATAATCATTAGTTGTAAATAGGCTTTTTATCGTGATTGTTGTAATTTTATTATCATCAATTTTGTTTTTAGAGGGCCACTTGGGAGAATACTAGAATTTTTAAGATCGTTTATTATAACCACTATTTGTAAATAGGCTTTTTATCATGATTGTTGAAATTTATTACTATCAATTTTGTTTTTAGAGCTCGAGGGCCACTATAGGGAGAATACTTTTCATAGCAATTGGTGTCACCCTTTAAAATAGAGGTTATAAATATGCTAATATAAACCACAATACTACATTGAATGGACTTTTAGCACTTTCTTTGTTATCAAGCGCGCGTAAACCCCTAACCGCGTCCAAGCAGCCGTAAAATCATTCTTGTTTACCAGAGAGGTCTTCAGACAAATCGAGACAAGGCAAGCATTCATAATCTTCTCTTTTTAAGCAGCTTAGGAGCTTTGAAGATTGTATTACTTAGATGTTACACTCGTTCTTAAAATGATCGTCATTTGAAACAGGCAGCTGTTTTGGGAATGACAAGACACTGACGCGTTTATGTTTCGGCTGATGTTGGGACGTACACAGACAATGGCGCGACGAAAGGAAGGGCTCTCATCAACCGACATTTGTGCTTTGTTGCTTTTTATTTCCCAAGGTAAGGCAGTCTTTCACTCTTCTTATTCTTGATTTTTGTGGCGTAAATTTAACTCTTGATAATATAAGTTATCAGATGGTACAATTTATGTCTTTGTGACTTATCGATTGTCTCCCCTTAAATTTGTTATGGTCTGAAAAACAATGTCTTTTTTCTAATACTGTGATTGAGGGTTGGCAGTTATCTTGTTTTGAGACCAAAGCATAAAAATGTAAGTTTACTTATCATAAAAGGCAGGTTTTTATTGCAATATTGAGGCAATGAAATTTAGTTTTATTCTATCGCTCTTGGCCCGCGAATTAGCGACTTTCCTGGATAAATGGCTTCAGACCAGGGATGGCGCAGTGCTGCCGGACTGCATTTCGCATTCTATCATTGTGGAACTGGTTGCAAGAGTTCAGTACCTCAATAACCTAATGATTCTCGTTATTTCAATAATTTAATAACCGTCAAGGGAGCGCTTCTAGCATGCTTCCTAGCTTAGGTTTGATATTTTATCTTAAAGAGATTATTAATAAGACTCGTTGCAGTTTCTGTTAGAGTTTCTACTTTTGCGTTAAGTGTAATATTTTATCGTTAATCACAGCGGACCTCCGCGATCAAGGAAAAGATTGTTGTCGGCTTGGATCGTTGTTTCTCTTGTCATTTTGGCCTGGTTTTCTCGTCTCCTTCCCCAGCAAAAGTGGCAGCCATTTTAGCCGATGTAGTCCCTAAACATATCCATGTAGAAAATGGGACCCTTTTTCACAAGTCTCAGTTTTATCCCCATGTTTTGATTTATCTTCAGTTTATCGCTAAGTCTAATCTTTTCGTTTGTTTAGCACTATTTACTTTTCATGGTCAACGTATTTAATAAAGTATAATTGAAAATTTCCGTAGCGTTTTAATTTCAATTCCGCCTTCTAATCACTAAAAGTCAAAAACTCTTTTAGTCCATTTAGCAATTAACAGCAGTCTCGATCCGTCCATTTTTAAAACCTGCTTTTGCCGTGGCTTTTTATAACACACCAGGTTCAGTTTGTTTTCAATAATGTGTTTTGTGGCATTCGTGGGAAAAACACAGTGGATTGATGCTATATGATGGCTGACATTTTCAGGAATGATTTCATTAAACAACTAGATAATTTTAAACCCGGTCGATCGAAGCAGAAATTTACCTGTTTGGGGTGTATCATTGTTATTTTTCGATCAATAAATGAGTCACTGCCAACTTGTTTTGGAAAGTCCCAAAATCAACTGAATTGAGATCAATAGACCATTATTCATACTTGGCTCCGCGGCTTGGGAAATAAAACAAAAGAAATGTATTATTCATTACTGAGCCTAAAGATGATTTTCTTTTGTTTTATTCCCCCAAGCCTCGAAGCCAAGAATGAATTTAATATATCAAAAATGGTCGATTGGCTTAAGAAACTGTTTCATTATTGTACATGTTTGGAAGCCAGGACAATGAGTAGAGACGTATTTGCGAGTGACTGCGAGTGACTGCGTAGAAGTTGTTTCCAAAGTCACTATGAGACTGTTTCCCACTCCAGAAAACTATAAGTAGAATGGGTACAAGCTTTCGGCGCAACGATTACTGGGTTCTTTTGGGTTGACAAACTTTAAATATGACTGGTTATTTAATGGTTCCCTTGAATACCATCGACCAATCATAACTACGTACCGCTTGTCTGCCCAAACAATCCCAGAGCTCACTGAGCCCAAAACTTGTACCCATTTCCCTAGAGTTTCTGGGCTGGCAATTGTAAATAAGTTGGTTGAATAACCATGGTGATGAGGGATCCTTTTAACACTAATGTGAGAAATTAAAATACCATAAGTTATACAAATTCCAGTTCCTTCTACTAAACACACAAAAGTTTATGTAAATGGTTGAGCCATTGAGTGATGATAGAAGTGACTGTAATGATGGCTTCCGCAAAGAAAGGCTGGGGAAACGCCAGTCGCTGACGGTGAAGATCAGTAAAGTCCGTCCGATTTACTAGGATATATTCATCTGGATGATAATGATGTAATGTACTGGGGTTTCATACATTTAGAAGGCAATTTTGATGAGTAAAACGCAACAAGCTTGTCCGACCAAGCACATGGTAAAAAAAACAAACTCCGCAAGCACCAAGTACGGGATAATAACAAATGTTCAAACAACTTAAAACTGATTTTAATCAACGTTTCAAATTGTGGTTTTTGGATGTTTGTTTTTTTCGACTTTCAAACTATGCTGAGGTTTTACTGAACCGATCAAAGACGTAACCTTTAATGATATGCAATGATAGCAGTCAAATAAAAGCTCATTTATTCATTTTACTTAATACAGTGGAGTATTTTGCCCAAACTCATCGTAATACTTGCAGCTATCAAGGAATAATAAATTGGCCATTTCCGAGTTCCAAAAATTCTCACTTCAAAACGAGGCTAAGTGCGAAACCTTTTTATGAAAAGGAATTTTATTCGCATGAGAGTAAAAAAGATCATTTTCATATCAATGGCTTGGATCTTAGCCTCGTTTTGAAACAGAGGCTTGAGGCAAATGGTAGTCTCGTTTTGTAAACTAGAAATTAAAAGAAGCTTACGTAGAACCTTGTAGTGTAAAAGATGGATACTAGTCCTTTAATTTAGTAAGTTTCCTTTGTTTTGCAGTTGCCTTACAAGCATCCACCACGGTAGTTGAGTACAAGAAATTTGACATCAGTAAACAATGGTCACAAGCAAGAGTAGCTTGTAGGCAGGAGAGTAAAATTCTCGCAAAAATTGATAATATTGACTTATTTAATTCAACAAAGGAAAAACTCTATAAGGCATCATCTGGCAAAGGTAAGAAATACTGGACTGGACTTCGATATAAAGACAAACTCTTATGGAGTGATGGCCAGCAAACGTTTTGTAATGGATTATTAAGTGCTATACTAAACTGCACTCATGTGAAAAACTTGCTATATGAAAGATGCTTTATTATTCAGGAAAATTGTGACACATTGAAAGCTAAGCAGTGCGACATAGCTGAACGATATATCTGCCAGACTGGTAAGTCTTTCATTCCTTTAGTCAGTTACGTCTTGCGCTCGTCTTCGAATCTCATTAAATTCCGAGGTTGCCCCATGTGGGAGAATCCCGCACCATTGATTCCGGAATCTTTGCAGGTGGAACTTTTGGAGTCTGGATTCCAATCGATGGTGAGGTTCCGGATTCCTTGAGCTGTATTCCGTTGTCCAAAGCCCAGCAGTCCGGATTCTACAAGAACAATTTCTTCGGAATCCGGATTCCAGATTCCCTTACATGAAGCTACAAAGGTGTTACAATAAATTAACAATGTTCAGCAGCCAGTAACGTTGTATCGTACCTTTTTAAGGTTGTAGTTTTCAACTAATTTTGTTAGCGCCCTTTATAGAGCAAATCGGTTGAAACTTCACAATTAAGAAATTTATAACTAACATCCCGGTATAACCAATGATATTATTCGCCTCAGTTCCAAATGCCTGCCGTTATGACACCAGAAGATAAAAAAAAACAATTTCAGTCCGTTTCAATCTTCTTCAGTTTTGCCCATCCGTGACATCTGTTGTTTCTGTTGTGTTATTTTAACCTTTCTTTAATGTTTTAAGCGGTTATTTTTATGTTTCTCTTAATTTAACAGGCATTTTGTAATCACCAAATTTGGCTAAATTTCGTGAAACAGCTCCTTTAACTAGTTCAATGGGGTACAAAAAGTTAATGCTATTGCTTAGTTATAAGTGGTCTTTCAGTACTGTTATTCATTTTGATTTGCCAATCTACAACATACGGTAAGTTAACTTGTGCGGCTTAGTTCCTTTAACAGCACCGCCCACCACTTCCACCTACTCCAATAAACCGACATCTTCAAACCTACAAACGTCGCATCCAACCGAAACTGACAATAACAATCGGGGAGGAATGGTAAGAGATGATTAACAAAAGCTGCCTAATGACGTCATTTTACTGCAATTCACCATTTTCGCATAGACCATAATACACCTTGTTTATCCCCCACAATTTTGCATAACTATTGTTTCCAATTTCTCCTGGGTATTACAGTCGTCCCAAGAGAAATCGAAGACAATGGCCGTGCAAAATTTTTGGGTGGTAAACAAGGTGCATTATGGACTATGTGAAAATGGTGTATGGCAAATCCTTCAGGTATTTACTTTATTGTGCAAAGAAGGGCGTCTGTTATTTTAAGAATCTCTTCGGGATTGCAAAATTGAAATATATAAAGAAAAACGAAAAGGGTGTTGGTGGTAACTTTGTAGTAGTAAAATGACACCATCGTGTTAATGGCCTGCAGAAGACGTGTTTACAAACATTGCTTTTGTTATTCGGATTTGAAACAAAAGAATAAGTTGGTCTCAGGAACCAATACACTTTTGGTTGGCGCATTAATATCAATAGGTGACGACAGTGTGATTAAAGTTATCGTATATTGTTTTTATTATTGACCAAACTGAAAAAAATTTTGGGGCCGGAAATATCTTTACGGCACATACATGAGTTTGTTAGTCTAAAAACGTACATTAAAATGCTTAATACCAAAGCGATAACAACGCGATGGCGCCATTTAGGGCCTATTTACATGGAGGTGGGGGACCCCAGGTAAGTGGGGTAAACCGCCCGTCCATATAATCTCTCAGTTTTTAATTTGATCACGTTTACATGATAGGTGGGGTGACCCGCCACATATTACCTCACCTATCTTGTGTCTTCCACCTCCATGTAAACAGGCCCTTACTTTAGAGAATAAGTTTGCCCAGGACCCTGGTTTGGGTGATGCCCAAACGTCGTGTAGAGGAGATTACAGAGCTCAAGCAAACATAAAGAACTTAAAACTGGCGTGCCTTTTATCAGCTAAAAGGGCGGGAAGTAATTGAACTCTTAGTACAGTCTTTCCTGATAAAATTGTCCAGATTCTTATTCAATATTTCCGCCAAAAGAGAGACGCTTATTTGACGAAGGACCAGTGCTCAATCGTCCGTCCGAGCGGGAGGCGAGGGCTTATTTACTTGTTCCTTAAATGAACTGAATCGAAACTTAAACTTTATGAAAGAGGAATTCGGCGATCCTCAAAGACTAGTGTATGTACTAGTTGTGTGTGCAAGGTTTTCAGAGCTTATTCTAATGAACGCTTATTTGCAAGTTTTGGCGAAGGGGGGTGGGCGCTTAATATATCATGAGAGGTATTTACAGGGATTTTCTGAAGGACTATTCAAATTGGCTGTGGTTTACCTACAACAGCTCGTTAATCGTAAGCTTTGAATAGAGTTTCTATTTTATGGTATAGTTCATATCCTTTATACGTTCATTGCAACTTTATTCCTCTCTAACCCGTTTTCTTTTTAACACCTGTTCTAAGATAAGACGCGTCTTAGCTAAGACGAGAAAAACTTCGTATAAATGACCTTCGCGTCTTACATAAGACGCGAACGCATGGTACGCATGCGTTAATTTTTGGCGGGAAAATTTTCGCGCCTTGTTGGTTGCCGTTGCTACGGGCAACATTCACATGAAAACGAGTCAAGAACAGAAATAAGACGCAAACCATTTATACGAGGTGTTCTCGTCTTAGATAAGACATGCTCGTATAAATGGTACAGTTCGCGTCTTATTTAAGACGCGTCTTATGTAAGACGCGTCTTATTTTTCCTCGTATAAATGGCCCTAATATATCATGAGCAGTATTTACAGAGATTTTTGAAGGACTATTCAAATTGGCTGTGGTTTTCCTACAACAGCTCGTTAATCGTAAGCTTTGAATAGAGTTTCTATTTTATGGCATACACCGAATGCAAATATGGCGGACCTCTCGGCCGGCCCGGGTCTAGTTGCGCGAAAGCGAGGCTAGTTAGGCCTCGAGAGTTTTGTTTGACTGCGCGTCTTAGCGATTGAGTCGACCGATATGGTTTGCATCGAGTTGTTGCATGCCTGAGGGCCACCAAAGAAGATTTTACTCTAGCTGGAATAGCCTTTACTTTCCCGAGATCTTTTCACAAAGAAACTTAAGGATTCATGCGATTCGGCGCGGCGATGGGAAGCACTTTACAGCGAAACTGTGCTCGCTCACTTGCTTTAGATGAGAAGACTCACGAAAGTAAGAAATGAAATAATTTTCACAAGAGATGGTGCTGTTCCAAGATGTTTGCATGGTCTGTTATTTATCCAACAAAAGGTAAACATTCTCGAGAACGGGAGTATCCGCGGTGGACCGTAAGATCTTTTAGATTTCACGCTGAAAACAGCTGCATTAAAATATAACAATAACAATCGCCTGTTAATCCTACAAGCGTGGCCTGTGAAACTATGTAAGAACCAGAAGAAAGCGACATATTTCAAGAACAGTCCTTGACCAAAATGCACTGAAAAAACTAACGGAGGAACCGTTGCCAACTAAGAAAGTAAGAAGAAGAAAAAAGTTTCTGGAAGAAAAAGAGCGTGCAAGTATTCGAGCATTGTATTTGACCTTGCGCATGATCTATTTTAGCAACTTGTTGAATGGTTTCGATATAAACAGCGATTTTCCAAAAATTGCTTCTTTTATGGCACTGCTCAAACTCTTGAACACAGGATCGTGAAGACTGTGAAAAGACATTCACCCTTGTTGTTTGTCGTTGTGCCCCTGAGAGTGCCTAAAGATCTGTAAATCGCGACGGGGGATTCACTCGTTCTCGAGGATATTTACCTTTCCTTGGTAAGAGAAAGACAAAGCAAACTTGAAACAGAACCATGAATCTTTCAGTTATTCACCAATTCTAATAGTTTCGTGAGTCTTCTCTTTTGAAGTGAAGCGAACACACTTTCGTTCTTTTAAAAAATAACTCCGTGATAGTAGAGTGCCTCCATTCGCCGCGCCGAATCGCTTGAATCCATTTCTTTCTTCGTAAAGAACTTTGGCAAAGCGAAGATAATCAACTTTCGTCTCTGCTGGAGTTAAATCTCCTATTTGATGGCTCTTAAACACGTAACAACTCGAAGGAAACCATATTCTTCGACTGAATCGCTAAGACGCGAGGTCAAAACAAAACTATCGAGGCCTCACTAGCCTCGCTTTCGCGCAACTAGACCCGGGCCGACCGAGAGATCCGCCATATTTGCATTCGGTAGTTCATATCCTTTATTCGTTCATTGCAACTTGGTTCCTCTCTAACCCGTTTTTTTTTTTCGAAATCTATGAAATTGACAGTTACTATGAAATCAAATTTTTATTAACAGCCTCCTAACACTCTCGAGTCATGTTTTGATTCGGTAAACTGCAACTTATCTGTGAAAATGCTTGAGGTTAATTTTGTGCTTAATTCAGATTGACGCCTATTTGAAGCTGATTCGATATCTTAACGAGACCAATCCTTCCTCACTACAGGTACGTTTTTTTGTCACTCTGTTAGTGATTATATACCGTCCATCACACCCTGTCAGTGTTTGTTCTTCTATGAGAATTTAGCTCATGGATAAATCAGCACCAAAAAGGTATAATGTAAGATAAGTCTACGCTGACAAAGCACACCCAGCTGTCACGTGACCATTGCCACATGAAAAATTGTGGGACTAGTTTAAAACTATCTTTAAAACATAGAGTTTTCGAGTTAACTCAGTTTGAAAGCGTACTCAGTCTAATACAGAGTTATTTTATCTATTTCAGCAAGCTATTAACGCGACAGATAAACTGCTAAGCAACTTCAAAGCATCAAAAGAGAATACGAGCACCCTGTTTGCTGCGCAAGCTCTAGAAGTGTTCGTAAAATCCTTCGCGAAACGGTAGTTAACAGCAGCGAACGATACCTTCATGCAGAGCGGGAAAGACCTTGGTAAAGGCTGTTATGTGATATAC